ATGCCGGTGCTACATGTATTGCCGAGACAATGAAAGTCCACAAGACGCTAACCAATTTGAATTTGTGTAACAATCGTATAAGTGATGCCGGTGCTACATCTATTGCAGAGGCAATCAAAGTCAACAAGACGCTAACATGTTTGGGTTTGTCTGAAAATGTCATAAGTTATGCCGCTGCTACATCCATCACAAAGGCAATCAAAGTCAACAAGACGCTAACCGTTTTGGATTTTTCCTCCAATGGTATTAGTGATGCTGGTGCTTCATCTATTGCTGAGGGAATCAAAGTCAACAAGAAGCTAACCTATTTGAATTTGTCTGCCAATGGTCTAAGTAATACCGGTGCTTCATCTATTGCTGAGGCAATCAAAGTCAACAAGAAGCTAACCGATTTGGATTTGTCCTTCAATGGTATTAGTGATGCAGGTGCTACATCTATTGCTGAGGCAATCAAAGTCAACAAGACGCTAACCGATTTGAATTTGTCTCGTAATCGTATTAGTGATGCGGGTGCTACATCTTTTGCTGAGGCAATCAAAGTCAACAAGATGCTAACCGACTTGGATTTGTCCTCCAATGCTATTAGTGATGCCGGTGCTACATGTATTGCAGAGGCAATCAAAGTCAACAAGACGCTAATCAATTTTAATTTGTCTCACAATGGTATTAGTGATGCCGGTGCTTCATCTATTGCTGAGGCAAACGAAGTTAACAAGACGCTAACCAATTTGAATTTGTCTTTTAATCGTATTAATAATGTCAGTCCTACATCTATTGTTGAAGCAATGAAAGTCAAGAAGACGCTAACCGAATGGGATTTCTCTGATAATCGTATCAGTGATGCTGATGCTACATCTATTGCTAACGCAATCAGAGTCAACAAGACGCTAACTAATTTGAATTTGTCTTCCAATGCTATTAGTGATGCAGGTGCTACGTCTATTGCTGAGGCAATCAAAGTCAACAAGACGATAACCAATTTGAATTTGGAGCACAATCGTATTAGTGATGCCGGTGCTACATCGATCGCTGAGGCAATCCAACTCAACGAGACACTATTTGATCTAGATCTCTCTGACAATCTTGTTAGTGATGCCGGTGCCACATCGATCGCTAACGCAATCAGAGTCAACAAGACGCTAACCAATTTATATTTTTCTAACAATCCTATTAGTGATGCAAGTGCTACATCTATTGCTGAGTCAGTTAGAGTCAACAAGACGTTAACCGATTTGGATTTGTCTTTTAATGCTATAAGTGTTGCCGGTGCTACATCTATTGCTGAGGCAATCAAAGTCAACAAGACGCTAACCGATTTGGTTTTGTCTGAGAATTGTATTAGTGATGCCGGTGCTACATCTATTGCTGAGGCAATGAAAATGAACAAGACGCTAACCAATTTTTGTTTGTATCGCAATGATATTAGTGACGCTGGTGCCACATCTCTTGCTGAGGCAATCAAAGTGAACAAGACGCTAACCAATTTGGATTTGTCTTTCAATTGTGTTATTGACGCTGGTGCCACATCTATTGCTGAGGCAATAAAAGTGAACAAGACGCTGACCAATTTGAATTTGTGTAACAATGGTATCAGTGATGCCGGTGCTACATCTCTTGCTGAGGCAATCAAAGTCAACAAGACGCTATCCAATATGGATTTGTCTTACAATGGTATTAGTGATACCGGTGCTACATCTATTGCTGAGGCAATCAAAGTAAACAACACGCTAACCAATTTGAGTTTGAGCAGCATTCGTATTACGGATGCTGGTGCTACGTTTCTTGCTGAGGCAATGAAAGTCAACAAGACGTTAACCAATTTAGATTTGTCTTTCAATTATATTATTGATGCTGGTGTTACATCTATTGCTGAGGCATTTAAAGTTAACAAGACGCTAACCAATTTGAATTTGAGTGGCATTCATATTAGTGATGCAGGTGCTACATCTCTTGCTGAGGCAATCAAAGTCAACAAGACGCTGACAACTTTAAATTTGGGTTGCAATGGTATTGGTGACGCCAGTGCTCAATCTATTGCTGAGGCAATAAAAGTTAACGAGACGCTATTCAATGTGAATTTGGGTTACAATGGTATTAGTGATGTAGGTGCTACATCTATTGCTGAGGCAATTGAAGTCAACAAGACGCTAACCAATTTGAATTTGTCTCACAATGGTATTAGTGATGCCGGTGCTACATCTATTGCTGAGGGAATCAAAGTCAACAAGAGGCTAACCGATTTGGATTTATCTGATAATAATATTAGTGATGCCGTCGCTACATCAATCGCTAAGGCAATCAGAGTCAACAAGATGTTGAACAATTTGAATTTGCATTGAAGTGATATAAGTGATGCCGGTGCCACATCTATCGCTTAGGCAATCAAAGTCAACAAACACCAACCGATGTGGATGTGCAAAAAGACGCTAACCAATATGAATATTTCTCTCAATAATATTAGTGATGCCGCCGCTACATCTATTGCTGAGGCAATCAGAGTCAACAAGACGCTAAACAGTTTGAATTTGTATTGAAGCGGTATTAGTGATGCCGGTGCTACATCTATCACTTAGGGAATCAAAGATAACAAACGCTAACGGATGTGGATTTGTCTGACAATCGTACTAGTGATGCCGGTGGTACATCTATTGCTGAGGCAATCAAAGTCCACAAGACGCTAACCAATTTGAATTTGTCTCTCAATGGTATTAGTGATGCTGGTGCTACATCTATTGCTGAGGCAATCAAAGTCAACAAGAGGCTAACCGATTTGGATTTGTCTGACAGTCGTACTAGTGATGCCTGTGCTACATCTCTTGCTGAGGCAATCAAAGTCAACAAGACGCTATCCAATTTAAATTTGTCTTCTAATGCTAGTATTGATGCTGATCGTACATCTATTGCTGAGACATTCAAAGTCAACAAGACGCTAACCAATTTGCATTTGTAGGCAATAGTGTTAGTGATGACACTGCAACATCTATTGTTCAGAGATTGAAAGTCAACAAGACGTTATCCAATTTGAATTTGTCTCACAATGAAATTATTGATGCCGGTGCTACATCTATTTCTGAGGCAATCAAAGTCAATAAGACGCTAACCAGTTTTATAACATAGCTAGCAGAGCCGCGCAATCAAATTCAGTATACGTAAGCGTGCTCAAAATCCCGATAGTGCACGCTGATAGCGTGAGTAAATCGCTTCGCCAGAAATTTTTTTTTCGCGCGAGCGGGCATTTTTAGCGCGGGGAAAAATAATATATTGCGCGACAGTAATTGATAAAAAGTAGAGACTCGGCCCACCAGTCCCAAAACGTAGACAATTTTCCGACCTTTTTCCTTGGGCTAGAGTTCTTAAATGAGGCAGAAAAAGAGAAAAACAACGGAAAAGGAGACTCCGCGAACAATCACTTCTGATATTGATGTCCGTTTTTCGCGTCGGATTTGATGCACAATTCCACAGACTATGTTATAAAACAATTGTTTCATGCTTTTAGCTGTGCACTATCGAGTTATGGAGCACGTGGGAAGTTTGGAGAGCACTCAAGAAGCCAGAGTTGCCCTCGGCTATTGCCTCAGGCAACTCTTACGCTTCTTTTGTGCTCTCCAACTTCTCACGTGCTCCATAACTCGATGGTGCACGCTGAAGCATGAACCAATTGTCAATTGTGAATGTCTTTCAATGGTATTAGTGATGCCGGTGCTATATCTATTGCAGAGACAATCAAAGTCAACAAGACGCTAACCAATTTGAATTTGTCTGAAAATGGTATTATTGATGCTGGTGCTACATCTATTACTGAGGAAATCCAAGTTAACAAGACGCTAAACAATTTGGATTTGTCTTCTAATGGTATTAATGATGCCGGTGCGTCATCTATTGCTGAGCCAATCAAAGTTAACAAGACGCTTACCAATTTGAATTTGTCTTCTAACTGTATGAGTGATACTGGTGCTAAATCTATTGCTGAGGCAATGAAAGTCAACAAGACGCTAACCAATTTGGATTTGTCTGAAAATGGTATTATTAATGCCGGTGCTATTTTTTTTGCTGAGGCAATCAAAGTGAAATTAGTTTAAATATAAAGTTGGTGAAGCTGAGGAGTTTTATCTAATTTTACTTAGTTGCACTTGACTTAGGTTACATTTAAGTTATGATAGCTACCTTTGTGATGTTTTCTTCATTTAAGGTAATGCTTATGCCTCTGAGGTATTTACCTCGGAAGAAAAGATGAAGTGTAACACGCCATTGTTTTTAGAGTTTTGTCATTAAAGGAATATCATAGCTGTGTATCATCCGCTGCAACAACATTCTTTCCATTTTTTCCAAGCTTCGAGCGCCTCTCTTTCAATGTAAACCAAAACCACAAAATTTATAGGCAATTTCTGTTGCGATCTGCAGAGCCATTAAATGAAATTTGACTATTGAAAGCTTCTTAAAGGGGAGGTGTGTGGGGGAGGGGGATGTATAGGGGCGAGGTGGAGACAGTAGGGGTGACAGAAACAAATTGTGTTTTGGATAACTCGAAAATAGTAATGTACTGCCGGCAGATGCTTGTTCCTACAAAGGTTTGGGACTTAATGACGAGTTAAAGGATATGCGATTTGGCAGGCGAGGAAGCATAGCCTCAGAAATGAAGCGATGATTGTCGGTTTCCCACCTGTTATAAGACCCTGGGGAAATTAGGTGTCTGCAGAAAGATAAGGATTGGTACCAATTATAAATTCTTTCTTAGAGGGACTTGCAGATAGAACTTGGTCCAATAAATTGTAACCAAATCGTATTAAAATATCTTGCAAAGGAGCTCTTTTAAATATAGAGCTGATAAGGTGTTTTCACTTTTCGAATTTATTCGATTAAACGCCGCGGCGTTTATTCAATTTTTCGTAATTCGAGGGCGGCGTTTCTTCGAGGACGGTGTTCATTTAAAATCCAACTTATTTCTTGCAATCAATCGTATGATAACTGACCATTTTTATTTTAGAAACCAAAAGCATGTTTTAGTGCTTGTTCTTAATTTCAAAATTTGCATGTTAATACTACTGCAATACATAAAGTGAAATAAAGTGGTTATAGTTCATTCAATTTCAATGTCTCTGTCCTCTTGATGATTCGGATCCAAAAGATGTAATGTCGGATATGCTTCCTCGAAATAAACACTGGTACATTCAAAGGGATTCGTGTCTGGTTCACTCAGAATTTCCAACTGCGATCGAAGCATTAATCATCCACTGCCGCATGGCTGTCGTTCCTTGAGGCAGTGAGTCATGTGGCCTTTCGACCCATATACGGGAAGATTCAACGCGCAGCTTCAAAAATTTTTTTTTATGACTTCTGTGGGTAGCTCTGCCCAAGAATCAAGAATCTACTGCAAAATGGTTCTTCTCGGGATGCATTCAAATTTTCAGCAGCAGTTTCTTCGTGAATTCCCACAGTACCCAGCCATTAATCATTCCTTTCTAGAGCAAGCAGCCTTGAACGGCTTGTTCTAAGAAACGTCCGGTGCCTGGATATGCTTGGTGGACCCTCGTTTTGTAACATGAACGCCATCCTGGCTGGGCGGGTCACCCGACCTTGAGACGTTTACATAGCAATACTGTGACCTCGACTGACAGGATTACCCTACCCAGCAGATCAGGCAACCTTCCTAGACCGGTCACTCCACACCTCATGTAAACGTGATCAAAATAAATTAAAGATTATATGGACAGGTGGGTTACCTTACAGGTTCTCCACCTCCAAGTAAACAGGCCCATAGTAGTCATTGATCTACTCCTTGAGTCTATTATTCTTGTAAACGCCACGTAATGATGCGGCGTTTATTCGAGGGCGGCGCTTATTAATATCTCTGCTCTAAAATACGGCAATTATACGAGAGAGGCGTTCATTCGAGGATGGTGTTTAATCAAATAAATGTTGCACATCACCTATAAAGACAACAAATTTCAGAACGTAAACCGACATCTCCGAAGTCATATAATGCTCATTTAAATTTTATTGATTCTAAAATAGAACAGGACCCAGTTGCTCAAAGGGCGGATAACGCTATCCAATGAATACATCACTTTTCAGTGGATAAGTGCTAACAAAGAATATTACCCCATCCGTCGGATGGAGATTTTTACAGTGGTTATCGTTATCGACCAATCAGGACCAGGTGGACAACAGTTAGTGGAGTGACCTAAATAACTGGTAGTAGGTATAGTTAACGATTTGGAGCACAGCTCAATAAGTGTTCCTCAACAAAGCCATAATAGTGGGATTGAGAAGGACAGGAAATTGATTGCTGCTAAAGCAACGCAGCTATGCTCCCTCACTTCCCGTACAACCCCTCCCCTCCCCTCCCAACCCCCATCCACTCCTTATCCTACAAGAGCCATGATCCCTCCGTTAACTACGTGACCACACAAGCTGGAATGGAAGAAAACTTTAAAACTCCATTAGTAAGTTTAATAGGAGTTTGGCAGAAGAAACAGAAAGGTAGTCTCCCCCCTTCCTCCTTCCCCTTCTATCTCATTTGTTTTCGCTGTCAAAACCCATTTCCAGTCTTTCTTCGAAGTGGCTTCTGATGTTTGACATCAACATATCCTTCTGAGAAGAGAAATAAAAGGAGGAGAAAATTTTGAGAGCAAAAGGTAGTAGTACTCATACGCCAAAGTTATATGTATTGGACTGAACTGATTTGATAGCTTTTCCATATTTTGAAAATCCGTTAAAGCCACGCACCTTATAATCAATTTATAGTCAAGCCGTTTGCAGTAACCTGTGTAACGTTTTTTTAAACTTCGTTATCAAAGATGTGCTATCTGTTGAAATATCAGCTCCGTTCCATTAGAGGAAGTGTACTGCGCCATTATTATTACACTTTTGTTACCGAAGCAATGCCACTGGCATGCGATATTAAGTAAACAGGATGGGAGAAGTTTGCTTGGATGCTAAGGATTTGGTGGTGAAAGATGAAAGAAACCAGTTATAGGTTAATAAAGAGAATAGTGTACTAAAATTAGGATACGCAGGAAAGAGATTTTTGAATAAATTTGGCGAATGGATAACAAACTTAGGTGTCAGAGTGAATGTCAACCCATCTTGCTCTCACGGTCACGTAAAGAGTTTTAGAGACCAAGCATTTTATCACCGGGAGATGGAAGATTTTTTTTTCCTACTTTGATGGGAGGGGGGGTTGTATGGTTTTAAGGAAGAGAGGGTGATCAGTCGTTTCAAACAGAGAGTGAGGGAGAACTATAACAAAAATTGACCGGCAATTCACGGTCAATGAGGGGGAATCATAAGTATAATGTGGGATGAGCTGGAAATTTAATCGTGGCATAGTCGAGATCCTCCAGCCCCCATAGGCGATAAATAATGAGCAACCGCTAACAACATGACGCTAGTCTTTCTAAGCGTTTGACTCTAGATTCAATTCAGACTTTATTACTATTTGAGTCTGCACAGATAAATTGCAAGTTATAGGAATACGTTCAATAATTCTTTAGTAGAGCTTTAGGAAGTAAATATCTGGTAAATTTTATGCTTTTCCTTCGTAGCTTCAGATGAATTCATTTGAACACAACCATCCTGTAGTTAAAAATTAGCCGCAGAGTTTCTTTGTTTAATCCTAATCCCCGCAAGATTATCCGACTCTCTGTCTATGTGTTAATTGCGTACAATATTCTGATCAGGTCCATCTAGGTCAGTCCCTCTAGCCCAGCCAGTCTTTGGACGGGTCGACGATGGAGACGTCAAAGGAAAAGACTCAAAGGCTTGGTTTACAATTTAGCTCTACTGATCAGAGTCCAACAATTAGTAATCAGAAGGAGGGAGGTTTTGATTGGGATTAGGTCGCAACTACAAGCGAGGAAGATGAGAGTTTCCGGCCGTGTTTTTTAGGGGGTGGTGTGGGAGGGTGGGGGGGAGGGGTTTCCTGCCCCTGAAAATTTTTAAAATATAAGAAGACGAACGTATCACCCGGAGTTTTGGCATAAAAACGCTATCTGACGCTAGAGAACAAGATAAGCGACTAAAAACGATTTGGTAATTAACAAGGTCAAGATTGTAAGGACTTACCAGATTTAAAAGGGCAGACAGCACTACAACTTATGTAGCCGTTTTGGCTTTTTTATCTGCTAGCACAATTTTGAAGAATTTTGTCGCGCCAGATCGATTTAAAAGTTCGGACAAATCAAGGAATTTGAAGAGCAATAATTCGCTTGTTCATGCAATGCGCAATTAAGTAGACATGTGTCACAATGACAACAATATAGAAAACGCTTGCAGTATCGGCACTTTTCCTTCGTTGTTTTGGTAG